GATTGTCGAGGGGGGCGGGGAAAGGCTGAATTCCTCCTAGCAGAAGCCCTCTGGCCAGGAGAAAACTCACCACTCCTCCAATGGAAGTGTGCTAGAAGTTCACTCTCTCTTGCTGGCCAGGAATGTGATTGAGCTGGATAAAGGCTGGGATGGGATTCAGGAGAGCTCCGCAGGGAGGTGTCGCCTCTGCCTGGTGACCAGATTGTCGAGGCTTCCCGGATGTTTTGTGTTAAGAATTTGTTGGATTTGTTTTGTTCTTTAATCAGTGAGTTTATTTCCTCTACAGTATCTTCAGTGTTTGAGATTCTTTCTTCTATCTCTTGTATTCTGTTGGTAATACTTGTCTCTGCAGTTCCTATTCATTTACCCAGATTTTCCATATCCAGCCTTCCCTTGGTTTGTGTTTTCTTCATTACCTCCATTTCATTTTTCAAGTCTTGAACTATTTCCCTTATCTGTTTGATTGCTTTTTCCTAGATTTCTTGTTTTTCTTGGGTATCTTTGAGAGATTTATTCATTTCATCTACTTTTTTGTTTGTTATCTCCATTTCTTTATGGCATATTTTCACCTCCTGTTTAAGTTCCTCTATTATTTTCATATAGTTGCACTTAGAGTCGATTTCTTCTATTTCTTCTGGAGTAGGGTGTTCAATTCTTCTAGTTTCGTGATCCTTGAATTCTGGTGATGTCATGTTGCCCTTCAGGTTGTTGGAGGAATTCTTGCCTTGGCGCCTGCCCATCTCTTCCTTCAAATGGAGCCAGGAGAGTCTTGGTGTCTTGGTTCAGCTTTTGCTGTGACTGACTCTCTGGGTGGATCTCTTCAGTACAGGAGCAGGAAATGTTCCTATCCCTCTAGATGGTACTTACTCCTCAGCACCCTCTGGATGGAACTCCTCAGCACAGACACAGGGATAGCTTGTATTCCAAGGACACCGCAGACAAAAGGGCAAACGTGGGGGCAGGGCAGGGTCGAGTGGAACACAGAAGATCCTGCAGCAGGAGCTGGGTGGGGGGACTGTGCTCTCTTCCAGGACAGTCTGCCTGGGATAGCACACACTCACCCCTCTGGATGGAACTCCTCAGCACTGAAATAGGGATAGTTGGTATTCCAAGGACACAGGAGACAAAAGGGCGACTGGTCAAGAGGAACACAGAAGACCCTGTAGCAGGAGCTCCACTATTTTTTTTTTCAAAACAGGGTTTCTCTGTGTTACAGTCCTAGCTGTCCTGAAACTAGCTTGTGTAGACCAGTCTGGCCTCAAACTCACAGAGATCCGGCTGTCTCTGCCTCCTGAGTGCTGGGATTAAAGGTGTGAGCCACCACCACCTGGTAAAGATTGCACTTTTTAATTGGTGTGCTGAAGATGAAACTGGGGTCCTTGTGCATGCTAACCAGGACTGAAGGTCACACAAATATCGAGCTAATTCTCCATCACCACACATTGAATAAAGAGTAAAATGGGAAACAATTACTAATTCTTCAGCATCACTTTCATATATAGAGAAGAAAAGAAATTTTTATTTTTCAAGACAGGCTTACAATGCATATTCCTTGTTGGCCCAGATCACAGAAATCCACCTGCCTCTGCCTTCAGAACACTGGGATTAAAAACACATGCTGTATAAGGTGGGGGCATGACCACTCCAAGGTATGGCTGAAGAGAAGGTTTTATTATCGAGAAGAGAGAGTATAGCCAGAGACATCTGGAAGAGGCCAGAACACAGAGAGAAAGTGGTACACTGTGTCTCAAGAGGAGGGACAGGACCAAGGGAGAAGGGGCCAAGAGGAAGGGGCAAAGAGAGAGAAGGAACCAAGAGAGAGGGGGAGAAGGTGGAAGAGGGGTCATTAGAGCTAGAGCACATGGTCAAGATGACAGGATTATATGGGAAGAAGAAGCTGGGGGAAGAGAAGCCCATGAGCTGAAGGAGTTTAAGGTAGCAGGCGGGATGAGAAGCGTTGAGAAGAGGAGCCACAGGTGGAATGAGCCTAGAGGTCATCACAGGCTTGGGTTTGCTCATAGACACCACAGTTAACCATTTGCCCCAGGTTTCTATTGGACCTGACACATGCCAACATGCCCGCGTGGCTGCTCTCTATCATGAAAGAACATGATGTTTAATAGTAGTTTAATTATTTGTTATTGTCTTGTTCCAAGTGGGACTCTGAAGTTTATCACAAAAGACATAGCGATCAGCAAAGTAAGGTGAAATCATTGCAAAAAACCCCAAGCAATCGTAAAAAGCATAAGTGAGGTTACATTCTTTATTCTAGTCTTTTCTTTTACCTTAAAATTGTTTGGCTTATAATTACATTTCTCCATTTCCTTTCCTTCCTCTAAGCCCTCCCATATACCATTGCTTGCTCTCTTTCAGCTTCATGGTCTCTTTTTATATTAACTGTTATTACATCTATGTATACATAATTAATACATACATTTAACAAGACATCATAATTAATAATATACCTATATTATTAAATATTACCTGCTCAGTCTATATAATGTTTAACCTAGTCTTAAGTTATAAAATTTGAAATATAAGCCTAGAAAGTAAAAATATTTGACAGTGTAACTTTATTGTTTTTGTCTTACATTTTTCATACAATTTATTATAATAATAATTAACCTATAAAGATCAGCATGAACATGGCCTTTTCTGACAAATTTAATTTCACGGTAAGCACTTTAACCTCAGGTTTACTTTATGTGAAGAATTCAAGGAGACAAGAATTATTCATAAAAATATTAAGAAATATTTACATGAAAAACAAAAGCAGTTGAATGAAAGAGTCGCCATGACAGAGCTTGAAAGACACCTGGGAGAACAAGACATGGAACTGAGGAGAGCAAGAGCCATCCTGAAGGAGGTAAACCCGCCTCAAGTAAAGCCTTCACGTTTTCTCAGCTTTCCCCATGCTACTCAGGCTTCCCCTTTGGTGAATTACTGTGTTTGTTGTATTTAATGACGGGAATATGATCTATTAAACATCTTTTTCAGTTTATATTACCAGCCAACGTCTCACAGTTATTGGCTTACAGAAACTTAACACACCTCACATATCAGTAGGCAAGATAATATCATCACATATCTATCCTATTCATATGTTTTTAATTTATATCATTTTCGCTCTTATTTTAAAGAGTATTTCTTTTATTTTCAAGTTTATAATATAATCAGATAACTACTCCCTTCCCTTTTCTTTCTCCAACCTCTCCCATATACCTTTCTCCACTGCCTTTCAAACTAATGGACTCAGTTTTCATTACTTGTTGTTACACACACACACACACACACACACACACACACACACAGACAGAGTTGAAATTTTCTTTGGGCCATCAACCAGCTCCCAAATAAAGACACGGAAACTTACTAATTGTGAATGTTTGGCCTTTGCTTAGGCTTGTTCCACTAGCTCTTTTAACTTAGTTTAACTTGTTTCTAGTCATCTATGTTTTACCTTGGGGCTTTTTACTTTTTCTTTTTGTTCTGTATGTCCCACTTTCCTGCTTCCTATGTGTCTGTCTGCTGGTCCCTGGTGTCTCCCTGTCATCTCCTTTTCTCTTACTCTCTTGAACCTAAATTCTTCCTATTTGCTCTCCCTGTCTGGAAGTTCCACCTATACCTCCTCCCTTGTTATTAGCTATTCAACTTTTTATCAGACCTATCAGGTGTCTTAGACAGGCAAGGTGCAACAGTCTCAAGTCTTTACATAATTAAATAAATGAAACATATCTTCATATAATTAAACAAATATTCCACAACATAAACAAATCTAACACGTCTCTACATAGCTAAAAAATATTCCACAAATATTAAATATACGCACATATATTCAAGTATATCCCTAAATAAGACTGCTTAGTCTGTATAATGCTACTTATGTATGTTTCTAGAGCTGACTATTGGGTGTTGGGTACCCAATTTGTGTGCTCTTCCCTGGGGAAGACTATTCCTGCAATGCTCAGCATTCCTTAGCTCCCTGCAGTTCTTTGTGTGAGGTTGAAGCCTCCCAGACTTTCCTCTGTCCATTGTTGTAGTCACTGTTCAGCTCACAGGCATTCATGTTGGTGAGACTTTCTGACATTACCAGGAGACACAAGCTAATAAACTCTCCGATCCTCTGGCTCTGACAATCTTTCTGCTCACTTGTCTTCAGTGTTCTCCCGAGACTTAGGTGAGAGAGGCTCTTTGTAGATAGCTGTCCCTACTGGGACTGGCTCCACATCTCTGCATTCTTATTGGGCGTGCCTTCCTGTAAAGGGATATATGAAAACCACAGAGATACTCGCAAATTCATGTTTGTTATGACACTCATTCACAATAGCTCAGACATGGAACCAGCCTAGATGTCAGTAAACAGTTGGATGGGTAAAGAAAATGTGGTACATACAAACAATAGAGTTTTATTGGGCTGTGAAGACTAGAATTGATGAAGAGACAGCTCAGGGATTGAGAGCACTGAGTGCTCTTCCAGAGGACTCTGGTTCAAATCCCTGCACCCACACGGCACCTCACAACTGGAGTCTGTAACTCCAGCTCCACAGGATCTAACATCCTCACACAGATATGCATCCAGGCACAAAACACCAATGCACATTAAAAAAGAATAAAATTGTACCATTCCCAAGAAAATTAATAAAATTTGACGTCATCATACTAAGTGTAAGCCCAGTTCAGCTATGCATATATGGGGTGAAATATACCTGAAAGGGTGGAGGTAGAACAGGAAAGGTTAGTGTAGTATCAAATGACAGCAAACACCACATATTTTCTCTTCTTTCAATATGTAGAGAACCTTTATGTTATAGTATAATCCAATAAATCAGATCAGATATGTCAGCTAGCCTTTTAGGGTAGTATTGCATATTGTTACTGAGTGACTTGACCAAAGCATGCTGCTTACATTGTGCTGTATTATTCTTGCTTCATGAACAATCTTGACAGCTTCTTAAGCCATAAATTATTAGAAATGAATAATGTTATTGTCAGTGAAATGAGTGAAAGCTTTACAAAATCCTGGAATCATATTCTGGGGCTCTTGTCCCTATCCTGGGGAAATGCTGCACCTTAAGAGATCAAATTTTATTGCAAAACAAAATACCACCATAATATTAAAGCTACCATCAGGGATGCATCACCACGGGGCACATAACCATCACCTGTGTGCATTTGCTATTTGAATCTGCCCAGTAACCCAGCGAGGTAGGTATTGTGATAATGTCAATCTCATAGATGAAAAGACTGGAATACAGGATGCTAACATGCTTACGGGGAAGAAACATGGAGCCACTGGTGGCACTTGAATTAAGAAGCAGATGTAGGGGCATGAGTGCAGATATTGCCATTTCATACACTCTTCAGAGAACTAAAAGATGAGATGTGAGGTCACTATGCCATATCACTGGCCGAATTGTGACCATTTACATGTCTAGAAACTCTTCGTACAACAGTGATAATGTAGCGTTTGGAATTCAATAAACATACATACATATGTACATACATACATACGTACATACCATGAGGGTATTCTTTTTTCCCATTTCTCAGGCCTTTCTTTATCTCTGTCAGATAATACACTGTTTAAGAAGAACGTATTTTGGTCTGATAGAAATGTCAAGACATGTTTTGTTGACAAGAGAGACATTATTACTTCAGACTTTGTGAGCTGCAATACTCAGCTATGTGGGAAATTTCAAAAGCCAGGTTGCCACAGACAATGTTCAGGGAGAGTTCTAGATGGGTTCCAAAAGACTTTAGCAGATTATCAATTAATGGATAGATTTATGACTGAATGTTAGTAAAATCATTTTCAATCTTTTATTTAGTTGCAAGAAGCAAAAAGTCAACACATAGAAACTCTAAAAATTGTTCAGAAGATGAAAGATCACTTACAAAGGTATCCTTTGAAGTAGCATTTGATGTGTCTTGAGTGTTTATATAACAAGTAAGATGTATTATGGGAAGGTACATTAGTTATGAGCTAGTATATTGGTGTGAAGCCTGGAATACGTGCTTGAGTCACGTGAAACACAATTTAGGGTTTACAAAGTATCTCAGTGATAGAGTATATACTCACATGAATGTCAGCCTGGGTTATTCTCCAAACACTATAAATAGATAAAAAAATGAAGAATTATGGAACTTTTCATATCATACCTAAACTTTGCATATTCTTACAAAGTAGGACTGGAAAATGATACAATTTCTAAATCGTATACTTTTCAAATATATCATAATTTATGCAATTTCTATTTCAGATAATTTTTCAAAAGTGTTGTAATATTGTATAGAAATATAGGATAATGAAAGAGGAGCAATGAACGAGAGCAAGGGGTCTCAGGGCAAGGCAGAGGGGAGCAAGTGGCTGTGGCAGGAGAGCAGGATAGTGGGTATGGGGAGGAAGTAGGGCGGGCAGAGAGAGGGGATGGGGAGGGTGGCAAGGGACAAGAAGGAACAATGTTTAATGATATGCATGTCTAAAGTGCCATAAAATCCATTATCTTGTGGGCTAAATAAAAAAAAATTTAATATGTGGTACTAAAAATTAGTCTATGAGAGTAACTATTTTAAAACATGCATTTTTAGGATTGAGCAAGAAAATTTTGAGTTAAAAGTTGAAGTAAAAGAGCAAACTAAGAAAATTGAAGAGCTTCGTGAGTGTCTGCAAAACTCACCTTTAAAATTGGAACAAAATAGAACATTGGTAGGTCACTCTCATTCATTTTTGTCATGCCAAAAGGCATTTTCTTTCCTAAAAATATATGCCAATATTTCAGGGAATATATTAAGTATCTCACTGAAAAGATATTTATTGTATTCATATTGCTACTGCTTGCCACTGCTAATGCTTAAACCAGTAAGACTTTACTCAAGAAGCTGATTTAATAGAACCGATGACTTTGGTGGCAGTCGATAATGTTGCAGGGTTGCAGGAAAGATCTTTGGAACAATGCTTTCATGAAGATATATATATATATATATATACACATACATACATACACACATACATATACATACACACATATAGAAAGTATTCAGAAGAAAACAATTGATAATCTGTTCTTCATGGACAATTCCACTATTACAAAAGAAAATGAGATGAAATGAAGTGTACTGGTCAACATCCTAAAGTGCTTAAAATTACATTGTGTCCTGGCAGCTTATTTTAAAGAAACACCTTACTCAAAGGAGTAATTTGGCTTTCTAAAACTCAACACGATCTGTTTGTATGTAGATGTGGAAAGGACGAAAACATGGGGTTCTTCTCCATAGAAGCGAGCTTGGAAGGTCAGAAAAAATCATGCCCCAGGCATTTCATTCAAAGAGCAGTATGTTTGTTTTATTAAGAATTGTTTTAAATGATTTTAAAATTCTTTATTTCTTCTTGGAGGTAGGGAAAATAAAGACTTGTTAGAATATCTAAAACAGGCTCGGCATGTGCCTCAGTCATCAAGGACTTGTTTAGTAGATACCAGGCCTTGTGTTCAATGGCCCCACCCTCTCCACACTGAAAAAAAAAACCAGTAAGCTCAAAGTTGCCATCTCCCTTTAAAAATCAAATCACTGAAGTCAGATAAAAGATCTGCTTTTTGTAGACCAAGTGTTTCCAGTCTTAATCTTGAAGGAATAAATCCCTTCACTCACTGTTCTTAACTCAGGGAATATTTTATTATGCGCATTTCCCTGCTTGGGGAAAATTGCTCTCATGGGAAGACTTGCAACCCCCCTTCTGTTATTCTAATGTCTTGTTTTCTATTACTCAACATCTTACTAACAGTGCCTGTCTTCAATAAGCTAATGTCTGTACAGTGTCCAAAGGACACTGCCTGCTGCATGCACCTTGTTTCTGGATCATTTAAGGCACCCCCTTTTCTCTGACAAACAGTCCACAGAGTCACAACTTAAAATCATTTCTTTACCATCATTCTCGGGTCCAGATGGGGACGCAGTAACTAGACCCTAATAGTAGACTAGGGCCTACAAAACACACCTCCTTTGAATAAGTCATTTATAGCCCACATAACCAACTCTCTGCTGGAGTCCTAACCTCCCACCCCTGACCCCCAAGTCCAGAGTAGGACGGAGAATTCAAGGCACTGAGGGAGACACTCATGCAGGTTTGAAAGTTCTGAGACTGGTCCCTGGCCAGTTCTCTGTTACGGTGGGTTCTCCCTTTCCTGAGAAACAGACAGACTGTGTTTGCAGCTGGGTGTTTAACACCTTAAGCTTTTGCTCTGCAGGATTCCCAAGGCACAGCCTAAACCTGCATTCTGTTTTAGCATCCCCTTCATGTAAGCAGAAACTAGCAAGTGGTATTTTGAATACATTTCTCTTTAGAATTTTGAGTCAACTGTGGATTTTATTGGGATTTTAGTCATTCTAAGAGGCACTTTCATAATTTATCTTATTTTTTTAAAAAAACTATTTTACACACCAGTCCCAGTTCCCTCTCCCTCCTGTCCTCCTGCTAACCCCCACCTTCCTCCATCCCACTCCCAACAAACAACTCTTCAGAGGGTGAGGCCTCCCAAGAGGAGTCAATAAAGTCCCTCATATCACTTAAGGCAGGGTCAAGGCCCTCCCCCATCTATCTAGACTAAGCAAAGTATCCCTCCATAGGACCAGGCTCCAAAAATCAGTTCATGCTCTTGCTCCACTGCCAGTGGTCCCACTAACTGCCCAAGCCACACAACTGTCAGAGGGCCCACTTTCAGAGGGCCTAATTCAATCCTTTACAGATTCCCTAGTTGTCAGTCTGGAATCAGTGAGCTCCCACTAGCTCCGGTTTCAAGCGAATTCAGCTGTTTCAAGGGAATCCCCAGCATGGTCTTGACCCCTTTGCTCATATTATCGCTTCTCCCTCTCTATGACTGGACTTCAGGAGTTCAGCCCAGAACTTAGATGTGGATCTCTTCATCTGCTTCCATCAGTTACTAGATGAGATTCTATGTTGACAATTAAAATAATCATCAATCTGATTACAGAAGAAGGGCAGTTCAGGTACCTTCTCCACTATTGCTTAGATTCTTAGCTAGGGTCATCTTTGTGGATTCCTGGAGTTTCGTTAGTGCCAGGTTTCTCGCTAACCCCATAATGGCTCCCTCTGCTGCAGGAGCAGAATACACTCTCCATGGTTCGGCCATTTCTCCAATCCCACAAATCTTTAGGATTAGCTCCTCATCGAGGGCGGCAAATGAAGCTGCATTCAAATAAACCTTAAAAACCAACTAGGAAATGTGAAGCTTTATGAAGGCATAGCAAAGGGCCTTGCATTTGTGGTCTCGGTTTGCTCTTTAGACCTTGTGTTCTCCATGGTACCTTTTATTTGGTCTTATCTTAGGAGGCATTTATGTTAGCATTATTTGGTAATTTGGCATGTGGAAACTCAACACATTAGAAATACATACGTTTACACAGCAGATCATAGTTCTTTCATATTTGACAACCTTTTCTGTAGCTCCTTTCTCAGTTTTGCTTTTGGCTGCGATGCAACAATAATTCTTTTCTGGCCAATCTCTTTGAAAGACGTGAATCTTTCAGTAAACATTACTTCCACAGCCCATTCTTCTTTCAATTCTAGCGTTTATTGCTTCATGTTCTCAAATTCTCTTTAGAATCTCCATTATTAGAAGTTTTGAGCTGAATTCACAAGTATGTGAATATCTAATTACATGAGCAGTTATGTAAGAACGATTCCAGGAGGATCACTTAGCTCACTGGTAATAATTTTCCCAAGAAGATGGTTTTAATTCCCAGCCACATACACAGAAATGCACAAAACGAATAAAAATAGTTAAAATTCAGATTTATTATGATTGATAATATTTTTTAAATTTAATTTTTTATCTTTTATGTTTATGAGTGTTTGCCTGTGTGTATGAATGAGTACCATATGCATGCCTGATTTCCACAGAATTCATAAGAAGACATTGGATCCCCTGCAACTGGAGTAAGGGATGGTTGTGAGTCACCATGTGGGTCCTGGGCACCAAACCCACTCCTTTGCAGGAGCAGCATATGGTCTTAATATCTGAGTCATCTTTCCAGTACCGATGATACATATTTTAAAAAAGTTTAAAAATGTTCTTTGAATAATTTACTCAAAAGTAAACCTAAGAAATTTTTAGTGAATATTTGAATATTTTTTCTCTAAATATATCATTTCAATTTGCTTTAGACAAAGGCAGGTACTCAAGAAACTTTGGAGGAATTATGTGAGAACATTTCCCTGATGAATCAGACAGGAATCAGAATCCAGAGCCTGTGGTCTGAATCCTCCAAAACAAAAACCGGAAAAGACTCAAATACAAGTGCCCAGAAAAGTTATGAGAAACAACGTATAGAAGAATTAAGGATTAGCAATGCATTGTTACACAAGTGAGTAAAACCAAAGAAGTACAGAAAATAGAGCAACCCCAGCTTTCCTATAGGACCGAACTTACAGGGAAATAGGCACGAGATTAGCGGGTGCAAAAGTGAGCTAACCAAGATAGTTTGGGAGAATAATCTTAGATAGCACAAGACTGGCCTTCAAAATTATGTTCCAGTGTAGACTATACACCCCCCAACTTTGATTAGACATGTGATTTTCTTCATTAATATTCTCACGTGGTTGCTTGCGATAGGTTTGCTTGTCTGCTAGCCAATAAGTAGAAATAGTAAAAGTCTGGGCACTGTTTGGAAGGTTGTAAGGAAAGCCGAGGGCTAGCGACTTTCCTTGTACACGGTCTGGCGCTTCCTAAACTAGCTTTCCTCGACTGTTCCCTTTGGTGCTACCATCGTCCAGTGCTTCATTTCACCCATATTCTGTACAAAGTGTTAAAACCAGAAGCTTGGAAATGTCCTCGAGGAGATTTTCTTTTAACCCCCTAAACTTGTTTAATAAATGCAAGTATCCATAAAAATCTTTGCCATCTTACTCAGAAGCAGTTAAGGAGTACAATATAATATTTAATGAGTAAATATTAGTAAACTTGCCAGTATGACCATATAGTTACCATATCCGTAATCTCATGTCACTGTTTTTTGTATTAAAATATCTCTGCTTGAGCCTTAAGGATCATAGGTGTGGGGTCCTCCCAGAGGGCAGCATTTTTACCTGTAAAATCATAAGTCTTTGATAGCCTTGTCTTTACTTCTGATATTGTTTGGGGGTATTTGTTACCTCAGAATTTTCCTAATTTTATAAGTAATCCTTTGGAGTGATTTGAAACCTGTAATTGTCTGCACGACAGGCATGCTTCTACACACCTTTCAGTGCTAAGATTCTGTTTAATGGGGAAATTCTATGCATTCTTACAGTGCTTTTAAAATACAAGGAGACATTTATGGATAGATAAGATCCATGTTATAGTGTACACCCTTTCGGTCTTTACAGGACCAGGAGACTAGATAAGTCCCGCACACAAGTTCACATCACAGTGGAGCAGGACACGTCTCATCTGCACACATCAGAAGCAAGGTTTTCTCTCGAGAACCCTTACATGGCGAACAGTTGCCCTCGCAGACACTTCTTCCCATGTGGAAACATGGTTCCTCCAGGAAACCCACGGTCTTCTAACGACTGCATGCGAAGCTACCCAGTGACGGTATTGTCATTTCCTCTGTTTTCAGACTTGCAATAGAAACCTTTTTATCCCAAATTTCGTGCATCACCAAATTGCTTACAATACATATTAATTACAATAGAAAGCAAAACATGCATTTTTCTGAAGTATAAAGAGTCTGTCTTTCCCCAGTAGAGTCAATAACTGTGATACAACAGCAAGGCTTTAACCGCGGTTTAAAGTTATACTCACGCAGTTTCACAGTGACTGCAACTGTGGGTAGACTTTGTGGCATCGGCGGACATTTCTGGAGGGTTACAGCTTGGCTGGTCTTTACAGTGCTCGAGTGTTTTGCCGCAGATTCCTGGATCTGCACACTTTTCATGAGTGTGTCACCGGCATACAAACACTTCACCACCTATGGATGTGAATAATCCAAAGTAACCAGAAGTAATGCGTGAACTAGATGAAACAAAACCAAAAGCAACTCTTAGAACTAGGTTTTTCCGTCTTCTTAAACAAGAAGATATCCTTAATTGTGATTTACCTTGAAGCATATCTGTATCAATTTTAAAACATATGTGTATTGATCCACTGTTCACATGAGCAAGGAAAGGTCACACCTGCCTCTGTATGTCACCCCCTTTTGAATGACTGGTGGCAAAGATGGCAGCGGTACCAATAGCCTTTAAATGAAAACAACTGTCATTAAGAACTCTTCGTAGGCTCTAGGTCCAGTTATTATGTAAAAGTGGACACTGCTTCACCTCTGCCCTACTCACCAGCTGTATGATTGCGCTCCTAGCCAGTGTCCATTTCTGTGGATCTAAGAATGACTCCCACGTGTCTGAATAGGCAAAAGAAAAGTTCAAGTATCCTTGTCCCGGTATGTAATGTATGCCTAAGTTTGCATAAATAGAATACCCATTTTAACGAAATACGAACCAACTGTGGGTAGTTTTTATCAGGTGCCACTGTAATTAGAACACTGGTTCAGCCGGTGCACACCAGTTCATAGCTTTGATGGTGTTTTCAGCATCTTCATGCACGGGGAAGACATTTAAGTCCACATCTAACGGCACCTAACACTTTTTACATGCTTCAGATAAACAAATTTCATGTTTCTCAGACAACATTACAGTCAAATACCTAAAAGGAAAAAAAACACAATGGTTAGTTAAATATACAAATTATAAGACCTTAAATAGTTGATTTTGAAATTATTTTGTTAGGTATCACATATTAAGTGCTTTAGTAAATTAAAAATATTTTATTTTATATGTATGAGCGCGTCACCTGCATGTATGCATTTGTACCACACAATACATGTCTGGTGGCCCTGGACACCAGAAGAAGGTGAGTCTCCTAGAACTGGAGTTGGGAATGCTTGTGGGCTACCACGTGGGTACAGAGAATTGGAACTGGGTCCTCCGCAAAAACAAGTGGTCTAAACTACTGAACCATCTCTTTATCCACATACTTCTTTATTAAGAGTAGCCTAAACATAAAAAAGTCCTTGGTATTAATTAGAAAATGTAAGGAACGTTGTTTTCCAAGCATGACAACTGAGTGTGTAAATGGTGACATGGTACTAGGAAGGTTTGGGGTGCTACTTCCCCTGAAAGTGATTTTTGGGATAGAAGACTAACTATTGTTAAGTAGTTTGTTTTTAGATAAACTGATGATTAGTTTACCTTAAACTCTACCTGATAGGTTTTCTTGCAGAGTATTAGTTAATCCAATCATACTACATTTCATGAGAGATGAAAAGCAATTATTTTATCTGCACAGGGAGTCACTGTGTAGTGACTATAAGAGTCACCGGAGTCCCTTTGAAGTGCTATTACATACTCACCATTTATCAGTTCTTTGAGCTAGATCACCTTCTGTAACTGCTAACAATTTGGATATTTCTATCAAGAAAACAATAGCTCAAGATATAACAGAACGTTCTGTAAAATGATAGGAAATAGTAGGTATTGAGGTAAAGGGTGTGGCTTTGGGATAAGAGATAGATATTGAGTGTGCATCAGAACAGACAAACAAAACAAGCCATCTACATAATCTTATATGGAAAAGAAGGCTATTCAAAAAGTCAACAATTGATAATCTGCTTACCAGAAAGCAAAGAAGACTTAGCCTGCTGGTCAACACTCCAATGCCGAGTTTCTACCTTCATCCCTAGAAAGCCACTACATTCGGAGTTACACCAGTGAGAATCAACACAAAAGGGATGAGCTTGACCAGTTTAATGGAGGATGACTCTGGGAGAAACAAACATAAATGACAGTGCAGGTTGCAGATGTATGTTAGGGAATCTGCGCCAAGCTTTGAGAATTAAGGGACTCACAGAATTTAAGAAGAGAAATAGAGAAGAACTTAACTAGGTGTTAAGAGCTGCTTTATGTAGGAATGAGGTGAGGGGTATTGGGGAGATGCCTCAGTAGATACAGTTCTTATCTCTGCCGTAGTAGTGTATTTAGTTCCAGTGCTGAGGAGGCAGAGGTAGGTGGATTCCTAGAGGTTGCTGGCAGTCAGTCTGACAATTACTGAGATGCAGGTTCAGTGAGAGACCATGCCTCAAAAAATAAGGTGGAAAGGTGAACGGGGAAGACACTGGACACCAATCTTCAGCCTACACACACACACACACACACACACACACACACACACACACACACTGAAGAGTCAGGTTGATGTGGTAAAGCAAAAGTTATGGCAAAAAGAAAGAAAAAGAAAAAGAAAAGTAAAGGAAACAGAAGAACTTGAAGCGTCCTTGACTTTCAAAATCTTTCATTGCAGTTGTTACGATTGAGGATCTGATGTTAGTGTAAAAGCTGGTATCATTAGGTAATGAAAAATGGGTTTGTGATTGACAGGGCATCCTAACAAACATTAGCTGAGTGGGATGTAAGAGAAGGATGATGGGACCATGTGAATCAGGCACTGTTATGCTTTCATGCGCTATAGAGAGGATGAGGCTTGTGGCAAAACTTACTAGGCACAGGTGAAAACTACCACTCCCAGAGAATGCTTATAGAGAATGAGTGTACTTATCTCATTCAGAAGTCATACGAGGATAAAAAGATACATTGAGAATAAAACAATCGTTTTAAAAAAAAACTTAGTAAATTATGACTTAAATAAACCTGGACTACCTGCAACTATTAAAATGCTTTTATGGTATGTTTTTACTAGGGTATAAATACAACCATACTTTAATTTTTAGCAATCCTTATTCGTGAAGTCTTGCATTTTATCCAATACATTTTAGCAACATAAAGAACAGGAAAAATGAAAAATATAAATGATTCTGAGTATATAAATTTTATTATAGAAAACCATCACACATTGAAATTGACTGGGCCAATCTTTGCATCTCATTGAAGCAAATAAATTTTTATGCATGTATCCACCATCCAAACCAAAAAATTCATGGTAATAGTTAACTCTTAGAAAAGTCATTAAAGAGGTTATAAAGCTAATTGTTTTTCTTGTTTCAAATATATCATGGAGTTTTCATGTTTTATTAATTTTTTTAGTACTGGCTTAAGTGCATAAAAACCTAACTCAACAGTGAAAGTGTAAAATCCAGTGTGAGGGTCCTGAGTTGCAGAATGGCTGTTCTAACTGTATTTCCTGCGATGGGCACACTTTGGACCTGGCTAATTTTGCTGTGTTTGTTTTACTTGCAAGTTCTTTATAATAAAGTTTTAATTACACTAATTAAGTAGGAGGCCAGAGAGAGAGCTCAGTAGTTAAGAGTACTGACTGCTCTTCCCAAGAACTCAGGTTTGGTAAATCCATTCTCTGGGAATCTAGTACCTTCTTGTGGCCTTCACGGGAACTGCACACACAGTGCACAGACAAACTTGCTTTCAAAACATCCATACACATAATAATAAACACATTTGAAAAATAGCTCTGTTGATAAATAAGAAAAAAATCACTTATTTTACATTTTTTCTTGGTTGTGTTAGGTTTATCACACTTATTAAGTTTTTCTATGCACATTCATCATAGTTTGTTTGGTTGTTTGGTTGTTTTTGAGACAGGGTTTCTCTGTACCTTTGGAGCCTGTCCTGTAACTCCCACCGTAGACCAGGCTGGCGCTGAGCTCACAGAGATCCGTCGCCTTTGCCTCCCTAGTGCTGGGATTAAAGGTGTGAGCCACCACCACCCAGCTTCATCATAGTTTTAAGAAAGAAGAGTAAGTCTCCAGGGTTTTAAAGCTATTTTGTATGATTTCTTGAAGATGGAAGATGAGGAAAAATTGATCAAAGTCCTTATCAAATTAAAGGGATCTTTGGAATATAATTTGTATCAGCAGCAGAAGACAAATAATGAACTAGAAAAAGAGATAACTAGGTAAGATTTTAGTATTTCAAATATTGTCAACCGCTCATATTAGCTATATGTGAAATAAAATCTAAATCTAAATTCAATTTATTTATGTTTTTTCAGAACTGTTTCTAAGTCTACAAGATGGCTCAACGCTTAGAGGGGTTTATTGCCAGACACAACAAGCCGAGTCACATCTTCACACACACACACACACACACACACACAGACACACACACACACACTCACGGTGAAATAACAACAAAACAACTGCATTTAAGTTTTACTTTAGAAAGTGACACAATCTGAACCTTCTTTCTTCCCTTGTTGAGGCGGGGTCTCATGTATATAGCCCATGATTCTATTGTCCCAGTTCCCCAAATACGGCAATCTCAAGTGTGTGTCATCATACTTAGCCCGAATGCTTATATGATGAAACATAATATTCTCTAGGGTTTGGAAAACTAGTACAACACCATCTTTGGTGTGTGATGGCTTCTCAGTCGACTTCTTTGACCATGATGTTTTATTTGAAAGTTATTTCTTTTTACTTTTCTTTAAACAAGTTTAGAATACAAAGCCTTCTGACTACCTTTAATAATAAAAATATCTGGATTTAGTTTATATTTTCCTTTTTATTATAAAATACAGCATGTTATAAACTCCTTTTTCATAGGTATCCCCCATGTGCCCAAGAGGTGTGTGTTATTCAATTTCAAACATACACACACAAACACAAATGAATAAGGAATTTTATAAAGTATGTTTTATCATTTCTTTAGGTGAACTTTGGGTTAAAGCTCATAATAAGTTGATGTTTTGTATAAGTATATGGAAATTGACAATATTATTTATAAGAATCCTGTATATATATGTATATATATAGTCAGTTATTTGATTGCTGTATATATTATATTAATTGTCTTTATACTCTTTACCTAAGATAATTAAATAAAATTCTTTCAAGAAAAGCTAGATTAAATTTAGGTCATAATTTATAGATACATTTATTTTATATGCTCAGAACATGCTTAAGAAATTATTAAATCTGTGCTGATAAAATATACTATTTGTTACATTCTTATAGAAATAAGAAACTCTTGAAAATGGCAAAAATTGAGCATGAAATTGGAGAATGTAGTTCTCCTGGAAATTCAAAGACTGGTCATTTTTGAGATATGAGGTGAGTTTAAAAACTAAAGCTCTCTTTTCTTTTCCTTTTCTTTCTTTCCTTCCTTCCTTTTCTTTCTTCTTTCCTTTCTTTCTTTCTTTCTTTCTTTCTTTCTTTCTTTCTTTCTTTCTTTCTTTCTTTCTTTTTTTTTTTTGGGAAAAAATTTTTGCTCAATGCTTCACAAATGAAACAGCTATTTGTAAGACCATTGGAGATTGAGTGTATGGACCAAACTCATCTTTTTCTATTAAGAATGTCTTCTGTCAACCCCCCTATGTCCTGAAACTTTACCGAGGGACAGAACCCCAAGACATGAGCATAAACTCAGTATTTTGGAATAGATCTTTTGAGCCACAGTTGATGTCCTTTGAAATTCAACTTTAGAGCATTTCTGTCACCCTAAAAAGAAACTTCATACTTGGTAGCCGTCTTATACGCACTTCCTTCTTCAGCCTTGGGAAACTAGTTTGACATTTCTTCCTATACACTTTTCTGGGCATTTCAAAGGAATGGACTCTCACAGTAAGTGGTCTGGCTTCTGTCAAGATCCCTTCCTGCCGTAGCAGTGTTCAGCGCTTGGCTGTTACTACTGTCGCTGACTGTTAGGTGTGGAGGCCCGCCATGATTGTACTTACCCCATGAGGCAATCAGCCTGCTATGGAGCATAGTTGCATATTTTTCTTTCTCTTGGATGAGTATTTGTGGGTGAAGTTGCTGAGTCACGTGGCCCTTTGCTTTGATTTTGGAGTTGCTGACCATAGCATGCTGCTTTCCATACTGTCTGCACCAGCAGGACGTGTGTGTGTGTGTGGGGGTATCACTTCACTCCATCTTTGCCAACACTTGTTTTCTGTCAGTTTGTAATTTTATTTATTTATTTATTTATTTATTTATTAGAAATTTCCACCTCCTCCCTGCCTCCCTTTTCCCTCCCCCTCCCCACCTCCCCCTCCTTCTCTAGTCCTAAGGGCAGTCAGGGCTCCCTGCCCCGTGGTAAGTCCAAGGTCCTCCCACCTCCATCCAGGTCTACAAAGATGAGCATCCAAACAAACCAGGCTCCCACAAAGCCAGTCCATGCAGTAGAATCAAAACCCAGTGCCATTGTCCTTGGCTTCTCAGTCAGTCTTCATTACCAGCCACATTCAGAGTGTTCAGTTTGAACACACGCTCCATCACTCCCAGTCCATCTGGCCTTGGTGAGCTCCCATTAGATCAGTCCCACTGTCTCAGTGGGTGGACGCACCCCTCGCTGTCCTGACTTCTTTGCTCATGTTCTCCCTCCTTCTGCTCCTCATTTGGACCTTGGGAGCTCAGTCCAGTGCTCCAATGTGGGTCTCTGTCTCTATCTACATTCATCTCCAGATGAAGGTTCTGTGGTGATATGCAAGATATTCATCAGTGTGGCTATGGGACAAGGCCAGTTCAGGCACCCTCTCCTCTGCTGCCCAAGGAACAATCTGGGGACCTCTCCTTGGACCTGGGAACCCCTCTAGAGTCGAGTCTCTTGCAAACCCTAAAATGGCTCCCTTAATTAAGATATTCACTTCCTTGCTCCCATATCCACCCTTCCTCCATCCCACCCATCCCATTCCCCCAAGCTCTCCTGAATCCTCCCCTTCTCCCTTCTCTCTACCCATCTCCCCTTACATCCACACCCCCACATACCCCTGCGCACCCAAGTTTTGCCTGGCAATCTTGTCTACTTCCAATATCCAGGAGGATAACTATATGATTTTCTTTGGATGGCTATATGACCTTCTTATTTAGCTTCTCTAGGATCACGAATTATAGGCTCAATGTCCTTTAATTATGGCTAGAATCCACTTATGAGTGAGTACATACCATATTCCTTTTTGGGTCTGGGTTACCTCACTCAGTAAAGTGTTTTCTATTTCCATCCATTTGCATTCAAAATTCAAGATGTCATTGTTTTTAAAGAGTTGCCATTTTAATGATGTAAAGTTCTTATCTGTAATAACTAACGAGATGATGGTGGATTACATGTTTTGTTCACTTGATTGTATTGCTAACTTGCATATACTTGTTGGGGAAATTCCGTTTAAACGATTTTTCAATTTTAAAAGATTTACAAAGATTTCTTTATATATGCTGTCTTCATTTATCCTAGATCTTGGTCCATTACAAGATATGTGATTTTCAAGTATTTTTTTCATTTAACAACTTGCCCTTTGCAGTTCGTCGCTGAGTTTCTTTCAGGCACCACAGCGTGATTTCCTGAGGTCTCACTGATTTGTTTGTTCTTCTTGAGGCCAATCAAAGTAGTTATTGCCAGCTCTAGTCAAGTTTTATTGCTGTATTTTGTCTTAAAATATCTATTTTTTTAATTATTTCATTTAGCTATCATATATATGTGTGTATATATGAGATGGAAAAATAGAGAGATAGACAGATGATAGGTAGTTGATTGTGTGTGCATGTGTGTGTGTGTGTGTGTGTCTGTATGCAGGAGCATACATTTATTTGTACATTAAAGGCCAGAGGACCCAGGATGACAACTCAAACCTTCTTTGTTGTTGATTTTGTGATTTATTTACAGTTTTATCTTACTGATTATACTGGTTTGGAATTCCACAAATAGAACAGTTGCTGGCCAGCAAGCACCAAGAGCCTGCCTTTGCTTCTCCTGCCCTGTGATTACAAGTGTGTATCACTATACCCAACCTTTTTTTTTTAAGTTACATGGGTTTTGGGAGTAAGACTTGGGTCTTGTTTGCAGGGTGTATCAGTCAGGGTTCTCCAAAGGATCAGAACTGATAGAAGGAATGTCTGTATATTAAAAGGGAATTCACTGGAGTGACTTACAGGCTGTGATCTGGGTGGTCTTGTAATGGCAGTCTCCCATGGAAAGACCAAGAATCCAGTAATTGTTCAGTGCACAAGGCTGAGGCTGCAACAGTCCCAGTCTAGTGCTGGAGTCTCAGAGGATTAGTACAGAACTGATGGTCTCTCATCTACTCTAGAATCCTGAAGAAGTAGCAGGTTCTAATACCAGGCAAGAAATGCCCAAGCAGCAGGGCAGGTGATTTGCAAGAGAGAGTGTGGGCAGGCAAGCAGAAAGCATGGCATTCCCTCTTCCATGTCCTTGTCTATAGGCTGCCATCAGCAGTGGTGGCCCAGATTAGGGTGGGTCTTCCCACCTGAAATGATCTAAGAAAATCCCTCACAGATGTGCTAGCTGCTTGGGTTTTATATGATTCCAGATGTAGTCAATTTGTCAAACAAGATCAGCCATCATACAAAACAAATAGTTTTCTCTCTAACCTAAGGGTCCATATTTATGTAATTTTCATACAGTATTTGTAGAGAGGCCAACTTTTTTTTTTTCAAGTGACTTTTTAGTTCTCCCAGAAGCAAGATTTTTTAAAGACTATTTTTAACATTTCATTTAAAAAAAAACGTATGTTGAAAGTCAACCGATCCTCAGCTCTAATAGGATTATGATCCATGTGTCTATTTCTGAGCCACAACAAAGCTTAGAGGCTTGATATTAGAGTCCTCCCCACCCCTAGGGCTATGTACTGCTAGACATCTTGCAGTAATACAGTCTGTGGTGGAGAATGTGGTGGTTGACCTGGCTCATGCTGAGGCTTTTGGTTCCTTGATGGGACCCATGTCCCATGTCCCATGCTTATGCTCTATTGATATCAAAGCATCATTTGCAGTCAGGCTTAAATGTAGACAGAGGCTAGTTCTCCTCTTGAATCCCTGGTCTGTCATCTATCATTTCTCTCTCCTGAATTTCTCTCTCTGACCTCCACCAGTTCTTTGACACTATGACTTACTAACTCATCATGATTCAGAGAATCACTGGTAGGTTCTTCCTGACTCTGTCTTGTAGACTTGTACATTTCTTTCATTGTTACCAGTTACTGTAAACTTGGTACTACTAGGGCTTACTTAGGAGATGGACCTTGGGGCAGGCACCCTTGGGGGTTGATGGAGTGATGACACTGAGCGATGTGGAAAGGGCTGCGATTTGGGCATCACCATTTTCTAGGCTTAGAGAGGCTGGGCTGTCTAAGTGTAGAGTGTGGCTGAGCACCAGCATTGGCTGAGTAACAGCGTTGGCTTGTTACGCTCTGCTCTGGGGTAGTTGTACTATGACAATCTGCCTCAAGTTCCTGCCACTTTGACCTGGTGGATGATAACTTGGATTGGTGATAGTCCCCCCCACCCCAAGTTGCTTGTGTCTGCCTGTTTTATCACAGCAATGGGAAACAAATCCGAGACATCCAACAGGCATTCCCTTTGTTCTGGGAGTGGTTTAGGTTCAGACATAGAGAAAGTTTCAGAGGTGTTCACATCTCCCACTTCAGTTCTTATGATTTTAACTTTATGAACCAGAGCAAAGTGCTTTTGAATTATTTTTCACTTGGGTAGAAAGTGAGAACTAGACATTTAGAACTGTCGCAGTGACAGAAGCTAGCATAAATGTAAGTCCCCCAAGGGCAAGCAGAAAGAGAGTGTTTTGGGTGTGTGATAAAGGACTGTGTCTTGTAGGATCTCTAGCACGTTTCTACACCATGAAGTATGACACATAATCGGGAAGAGAACCTTTTCTCTGGGAAGTTATTAAAACAAGGTCATATGTTGCTGCTGTTCTGGACAAATTCAGAAGTCTCTTATTCCGTTGAAATCATTTAATGTAAGGCTTCATTTTCTACCTAAAAATGAAGCAATAATTTCACAGCAGAATTCCCAACCATCTGGCTCTTTCGATCTTTCTGCCCCCTCTTCTGTGGTATTCCCTGAGTTTGGGGGGACAAGGCGTTGTGTTATAGGATGAATCCATCAGGGATGGGTTCCACATGATCCTTTAATCTTTGCATTATTACCTATTATGTTTCTCTATATTTGGTGTTCATCTGTTGTAAACAGAGGTTTCTTGGATTAGGGGTGAGAGCTACACATGTTTGTAGATATAAGGATAAGTTTTAGAATACAGTTAAGAATTATTTTGTTTAAAAACAAAAATTTAAAAACAAGAAATAAAAGCAAAACATTCATTTTTGTTTGTTTTTTAAAATTTTTTTTGTTTATTTTTAAATTCATAGTCTTATTTGTATTTTTTATTTTTATTAATTTTTTAAAAATTTTCCTTTGTGGGGGGCACTACAATGGAGAAGGGTAAATATGGAGTGGATGGGAAGTGAGGGGGGTTGAGGTGGGTAATGTGAAATTCCTGAAGAATCAATAAAATTTATGTTTAAAAAAGAAAATACAAACAAACAAACAAAAAAGTATTTTGGTCTAGAAACATGGCCATAGTAGGGTCTCTCCTAAGATTCATGACCTCTCACTAGTTCTGGTTAATTGACTAGGTTTCTAGTGCCAGGCATGATTTCCCTTCTGTTGAGCAGGCCTTAAGTTCAATGAGACAATTGTTAGTTACTAACAATGCATTAGAGTCACTGTTTCCCCTTAGGGATATCTTGCTGTACTGGTCATTGTGTGGTCCATTGGTGTCACAGATGGGCCATTGTTTCCCTTCTGTGGAGGCTTCCATAGTAGATTCTGGTCCTGGGAAAATTATACCAGCAGGTCACTTTTAGCAAAAATGTCTTCTGAGTTTACTTTTCCTTTATCTGTACTTACCAAGGCATCTCAGCCACTTCATATTCCAATTTATCACCGTCCACCAGCTCTTGAACAAAGGCTGGAATTTGAACTCTTGTGCTGGGCTTTTCATAGGTTTTTACCGTGAAAGTGAGCATGTCCGTATTTCAAGAACAGTGGATTTCTCGGTTGGATTTGGGCTACATGCTTGGCATGTAGAAAGGTCCTACTAGATCTTTCCAATCCCTAGTTGTAGTTACTTCCCTTCCACTTACTCTGTGTATTCATCGTTAAACTTATATCATTTAACTTATTGTAAATCTTTCACCAGTCAGAAGGAACACTCCCTCCTCTGTGCACGAGGATTACACTGACCTCATACACAGACGAGGGTGAAACATTGCGCCCAACATCTAAATCTTTTGAGAAACATATGCAGGTAATTAGCTTCTTGTGTCTTGTCTGCACTACACAAAAAGCACTAGCTGCAAGTTTGAAGTAGAAGTCGCCGAAGTTCACTTCTCCATAAGCAATATGTTTGCTTTGACAAGTCTCACAAAATTATCTCTTGTATCTTTCTAAAGTTTCTTAATTCAAAAATTCTGAGGTACAAGTGCTTGCATCTGAGAGTAATGGTTGTGCTTGTTAAAACCTGGGTTCTCTGTCCCACTGACGACTGACAGCCACTTAAGCAATATACTCCATAGAACGACTGCCATACAAGGCTCTGCACATCTGGCCTGTCTTAATTACACCAACTGTCTTCCAACAGAAACACAGACTTTTTTTTTTTTTTTTACATTCTGCTGTTATCCAGTGTTCAAGCTCAAGGCTTTAACAAATTCAAAAAGATGAAAGTGTTATTTGTTATTGTTTCATGACGAAGACCACGAATATGACAAAGACCGGAAATTCATGCACTGTCTGAAGTTCATCCTTTTCTTCTTGGACGTGTTTCCCATGAACAGTCATTACCAATGCTTGAGCATACAGATACAGCCTTCCAAAGTCCAAGTTTAGAAACCACACATAGAGAAGTAGGGAGACCTAACAAGTCCTAGGTGTATTAAGGCTCTTTTTGTTGTTCCCCCTTTCCTCTTCCCTGAGGGCTCATTAATGCTGATGCTATATGAAAATCTTTTCATCTATTTCTCATAAAAATGACGTCACCAATCTTAACCTAACAATACATAATTCCTTTGCAGTTTTTGTTGCTGTTTGAAATCTGGTTTTCAGCAGTGTTTTCCCTGTTCCCTCTTTTGCAGGAGTGTGGTTAGACTTTGTCACGTGACTGGGTGGGCAGATACTCCATGCTTCCACCATGGATACAGGCCTCAGTGTGGCAGTCTTGATGTATTCCAGAAACATCTCCTGGACCACAGCATCTGCATGGAACAGCAGCTGACTTTTCTAAATGCATCCTTGGAAAGTTGGCCCTGATTCAGGCACCACCTAGCAGCAAAGATGACAAAGCACTGCCCTTAATTTGATTTTAATTAAAGATGTGTACCACCACACCCAACTACTCTCTTTCTTTTTATTTTAAGGACTTTGTCCTTTTTTCTTTTCTCTTCCAAGCCTACATATATTTTACAATACACTGTAAACTGTTAAGAGGGTTTTTCTTCTGAAACTATCTTTACTGTATCTCTTTTTCTGACTACATGAGTCTTTCATTTGCTAAGCAATAAGGCTAGGATTAAAGCTATGGCTTTGGTGGCTAGATCCAGCCCATTCCTTAGCTTTCTGAGAGTCTAGCCTCATGGCGGAGGTACTGGCCAGAGCCATGTTTATTGCCACAACTCTATGAAGAGTTTTAAGGTCTATGCCGCCACCAAGAAGCATGCTGTCAACTATTCATAAAAAATCATTTAAGTGTCTGGAATGGTAGGACAGACAAGATAGGGGTCTTAGAGAACAAGTGAGTGGGCGTGAGAATATCTTTAATAAGAAGGAAGGTACAATATGTTTGTTTTAAAGATAAATGGTACTGAGAGTGACAGGCGTAGAAGGTAGTGTCCCAAAGTCTATTCTTAATGCAGGGTTGACAGAAGGTGTCCTGTGCTTCTCAGTCAGCAAGGCAGTCTAGAGGAGGAAAGGGTGAAGCATCAGTGTCAGCCAAAAGACAAGGAGACTCTTCAGAAGCTAGGAGAAGGAAAATTCCAGGAGCTGAAAAAAAAGGAAAGGTATAATTTAGCTATGACATTACTGACCATTATGAGGTTGGACAGCTAGGCATAATGTGGAAAGAGTTGAGTGATCAAGTGGCCCCAGAGGAGAGGACCTATAGTCTTGGGCTGGTGAGGCAAGTACCAACACCCATCACAGATGTCTGGAAAGGGCAAGTTTTACCAGAGGAAGCAGGAAGTATAGACCAAATATCTCCTGAATCTGTTAAAAATGCCAGAGACTTTTGCACCTCCTGGGCAGTCAGTCTGGTCTCCCCCACAGTAATCTTGATGGCAGAAGTCCCAGGGCAGTATCTGTCATTGGTTGCCAGGCCCAGAAGATCTGGGAGAGATTTTCCTATGGAGGAGGAGATTGGGTGATGGACTTACCTAAGTAACACAGAGTAGAGTAGACATTCATCCAATGTCCGTAGTTTTTGTAAGGTCCTGGTAATGAGCAATGTGGGCCAGTCCTTTGCCTAGTGAGCAGTGTTGTCACACTTGAAGCAAGCGCCAGGTAGAGTTCATGGTGCCTCCTCTTCTTTGGAGGTGTCTCAGGGCTGCAGCCAGAAGTTAGCATTTCTGTTTATCTTTATGTCCCTTCCGGTTCCTCCCTTCCAATATACACCTTAAATGGCATATTCAATGGATATATTTGAGGGGGTTTGATGGCCATCATCTAGTCTCTTCTGTTCTTTCTTCATATGTCTTTTTAAAAACAATAGTTTTACATTAAACAAACATGAATGGTTTTTATTCACTTGCTTCAGACTTATCTTTGACAACATAAACAGAAGGCTCAAACTTGGCCCTATAAATGAATTACACTCATCACTAGCATTATTACGGGTGTAGTTCTGGGCACATATGGTCATTTATAAGGTGTCTGACCATTAACTTGTATGTCTTAATTATCTTTAACAGTTTATAATAAGTTAGTGACTTTTATAAGACTAAAATTTGAGCCAACAAATGTATAATTTTTCAGTTGAAGACCTTTTAGTATCAAAATAAACATTAAACCACAAATACAGTCCGTGGACAGACATAAGACATCATTTTCCAGATCTCTATATAGTGTACTTTTACAAAATAGCAGTTTTTATATGACTCAGCTTCTCTAAACAACTAAAACTTAACAAAGACAGCAAAAACCATAAAGTGGCTAGAAATGCATCTTTATGTCAGTTTTTGCTTTCCTGAATAGACTATAATAGTCTTAGAAATTTATGAACCTTAACCATCAAATATATATGCTGTTCATAAATATTATTTTCTATAAACATTGTTCATGATTTTTGCTCATCTATTTTTTTTTACTCTTCAGACAAAAATGATCTTAGAGACCCTGTGTTTTCTCCTTAGTCTAGGGAAAATAAAATAAAACAAACCATTTTTTTGAGATCTGGTCTTACCTCTTTAGTCTAGTGAAACATTCTAGTTTCCTAAAAAGGACTTGAATCCAACTTACACACATGATATGCTGCAACAAATTAGGATTACCTATATATAGATTTTAAACCATCAACCATTTTGTTATAAATTTTAAGGTAACTCCTACCACTAGGGATGTCACTGATTTGTTTTTCAAACCACACCCAAATCATCTTACAAATCCTGAGATCATTTGCATTTCAATAAAACCTACAAATATAGCAAAACCATGGGGAAAAGGCAGAAGTATTCAGAGAGCAGAAAGTCTGCAGTTACATTTAACCATTAATAACGTCTATTCAAAAACATTCACCTCCTAGTTGTTCTCCTTCTGCCTGTCACTGAGCCACCCTGACCCTGACAGAGGCTTTAGGGGGAGCATTTAAAAAACACAATTGGGCCTAGAGAAGGCCAACTCACAACTCCAGAGCCATCCTTTTAGAGTGTAAAACCGCAGCAAGTGACAATCTTTTAATATCATACACAGATATACATAGTTAAGGATCTTATTACATAAGGACTTAGGAAACTTGATAAGACTTGATACTGCAAGAGACAGGAACATAGCTTTAATTCACTCAGCAAGGTCAAGGTTATTGGTCCGTGTAGAGGATGGAATAGATCCAGGCTTGCCTTGGCTCCCCCAGGGTTTGTTGGCTTTATTCTCTTGGGATGCTTGCAGACTTTTACACAAGAGTTTGCGAGGCAGCTTAGAAGCACATCCTGCCAGCACTGGTATTCCAACACAAGAGCAAGAGGATGCTCTCCTCAGCAACCAGGTCCAAGTCCTGGGAGAAAGAAAATCCAACGACGCACAAAATGCTATTGATACTGCTGTTGTCTCTGGCTCCAGTGTGGTTAGCAAGGAGATTTGAATGACGCTGTTTTCATTTAAAACTGTGATTTTTCTCTTTTTATGCACTAATTTCAGTCTTTATAATTTTGGCATCTCTCTATTACCCATCTTAAATTGTGCTCAGGTACTCTTACCTATGGGTGAATTAGGATTTGAAAATGGCCACCTGTGGCACAGGTAGCCGTAGTATACCAATACCAGTTCCTACTCTTGACCTTACACCACAGTGATGAGAAATGCCACGGCTGCCATGTGCTATTGTGTAGACTCCTTGGAAGTCCATAATTAGTTCAAACACGAAAATTTTGAGTACATATTATTTGATAATTCACCAAACTAGTTGGTATCAAGCTCAACTTGAGCACCAGGTGAATGACCTGTTTCCATCAGAAAATCCACAGATCCTTTCTTTGACAGTAGTCTAGCACTAACAAGATACCAGATACTTTTAGGACATGCAGTGGAAAACCTTACAACCACAAAGAGGTGATTGTCTCTCACCTTTGCAGAGAAAAGGCCAGGCAAACTAACGTTCTTGCCACTCAAGCTGTGAGTGCTGACAATGGTGTGGCTCCCTCTTTTTTCACTAGGATTTTGGAATGGATTACTAAGACTCGGGAAATAGACACCTAGTTGTAACCAAGACAGACTCAATGACTGACATGCTTCCTCATACCTGGTATTGTTCCATTTTCTCCAAGTGCTGGAACAAAGAACCTGACCAAAGCGACTCAAGGAAGGAAGGAGGGACTTATTTTCCTCCCAGTTTGAGGGACAGTCTATCATGGTAAGGAGTCATCGTGGTAGGTTCTAGAGAAGACTAATTGGATTGCATCTACAATCAGGACACAGAGAAATAAAGATGCTGGTTCTTGACTCACCTTCTCCTTTTTATGCGGTCCAGGACCTCAGCCCAGATGATGAAGCAATCCACATTCAGAGTAGTTCTCTCCTCCATTAAATCTCTCAGGAACCACCTTCATAGACCAACACAGAAGTATGTTTCCGTGGTGATTCTAAGTCGCATCAAGTAGACAAGAGGTTAAGCATCGCACATTCCTTCATCTGAAACTTACCTCAGGCTCCTGCCCCACACGGGAATCGATCTTGGATGCTTCAGTCAGAGCAGGTTGGGTGCTACTCAGCATGTAATTTAGAAGAATAAAACAACCTTTTCTCCATCCAGGTGTTGTGAAGCAAATTGATAGCCCCACCCCATTGCACCCACACGTCTTCCCGTTTCAGCTGTCAGTTCCTAACACTGTATCATACTTCTAAACCCGAGCGGACATCTCTTCTTGCCATGCGCTTATTGCTGCATCTGCTGAAAGAATGTGGAAGCTCTTTGGTTTAAAAATGAGCAGGTTGGTTTTTGCTTGTTTGTTTTCCCTTCTACAAGGTTTGGGATTATGCAGTGCATGTGTTTCGTGTCTGGCTTCTTTTTTGCTTGGCATAATTATTTTGGGATTCACCAAGAGTCTGCATGGTGTTAGAACTCCAGTCTTTCATACTTTTTTTTGTGAGATGTATTGCGCTGTATGGATATGTCACAATGTTTTATGCATTTGTTGGTGATCATTTAAAGTCATTCAATTTTTGAAAATCACGAATCAAGCAAAACATCTCTGTTCTTGCTGTTTTCAATGTATACATTTAGGATTTGTATTACTTCAGGTGGAATAAATTACTTGGCTTCTCAAAAAGGTAAGAAGGAAGAAAAGGAGTAAGAAATGAAGGTAAGTGGGGAGAAAAACCATAGATTTGAAACAGCAAAATTTGGGTCCTCAGAGCTTGAGAGAAGCTTCAATCTAGGCCCAAAGACAGGCTCGGTTCCTAGTCGTGTCTGGATAAACGAGTGCACCTTTTCAAATGTCAGCATCTTAACAAGTTTCACTTCCTTAATGAAGATGCCTGCCAGGCAGAGCTGGTGAGAGTATTCAATTCTATGAAATAACCCACGTGAAGGGCGTGGCACTTGCTTAACAAGGGCCAGCTCTCCCATCTCTCCGGGTCAAGAAGAACAGGCTGAAGGAGCTCCAGATTCTGATCTTCCTCTGGG